TCAGTCAGTGCTCACGGTCACCCATATGTAGTGACTGGCTTTGTGCTGAGACTACAGCGAAGGCTATCTTGGGAGTTGATGCTCGGGCCTATATTGAGCTCCGGGTTTTCAGACGCAAATGACTCTCATCGTCGTGGAGATCATCTTTCAGGGTATCTGGGGGTTAGCATATGTATAAATAAATATAAATATAAATATAAATAAATAAATATATATATATATATATATTATATATATATATATAGAAACACACCCTTTCCATCCCTGTCTGGTCTGAGGACACGACCCTGGTGAAGCAGGCTCCAAACGGCTGGGCAAAGACCTCAAGATAGCTGCGCTGCTCGCCGGGCAGCAATCACGGCAAACCAGCACTAGTGACACACGCACACCTCTCTGTGTTCACTGTCGATCTCTCTGTTTAACTTCATTTCAAGCAGCATGCAGGCGTACATGTACACGCACGTACATACTTACGCTCCTACGGAACATGTACACACAGGTGTCATGTTGCTATGTACGTACATGCGGAACACAACCCAACCGGGCAGTTTCTCGACCAGCTCCGTGGCCGCGAGTGGCTGTTGGGCTTGGGAGGTCGGGCAGCTGCTCTTGAATGGAGCTGGATGGCGAGGGGTGGGCATGAATCATAAATGGGTATGCATGCATGGAGGCATACTTACAACCCCTGCCGATTGAGAGAGACTTAGAAAGAAAGAAAGAAAGAAAGGCAGAGAGACACAGAGATATAGAGAGAGAGAGAGGGCTAGAGAAAGAGAGAAAGAAAGAGAGGCAGAACGAGAGAAAGACGCGCAAAAGAGCGAGAGCGAGCAAGGTAGCGAGGAATTGAGGAAGGCAGGTGCAAGGAGGACTGGAGACCATAACTTACACGGTCACATGCTGGCCTACGAAAGTATGCGGAAGAAACACATTGTAGCAGAATACGACATGGCTCGTGGCCGCGAGTCTGCAAAAGATCAGAAGCAGTTGTCCAGCTTGGCTCACTGCGGAGTTCGATACACACTGCAGCCGCTGGTGACGGCACCTTTGACTACAAGCACTGACCTGTCGCCTCTGTACGATGCAGAGCTGAAGTCATGCTTCGTGGAACCTGGCCCCCCGCGCTGGACCAGAGGAGACTCAAAGGTCTGCGGCCTGAAAACCACATTGAATATGTGACTTGGAGGCAGCTGGGCGCATATTTACTTATCGAGGCAGTCCAACAAGACAGCAGTCAAGGAAGGCAAGTCTGTTCCACAACAAGGGCTCCTGCATTGTGGTGTCAAGGATTTCGAGTCGCACGATGAGCAAGCTTGGCTAGGATCATTTGGGAAATTTATCTGCCCGTCCGGACTGGACCACACTGCTAGACGACACCACATGGGACAGCCGAAGGAAATGGAAAAGCTAGCCCGCCATTGCTGACACTGCGCGCAGTATCACCAACATGCTGCCGGTTGAGAATTCGAACCTTCTCCGCCAAAGTAGCCACAGAATCGGAGGGAAATGCACCACAACACTGTCTGCTACGCACAGTATGCCAGGTAGGAATTTGCTGCTGCCAATGCAAGGTGTTCGGCACAAGAACTGATGGTTCATGGATGACTGCCTCCATAGGTTTCGCAGCGAAATCACAGACATACGGCAGAAGGAATGCCAAAAACCCAGCGGGAAATCCACGGACATAGAAATACTGGCCTCCACATGGATGACTCGTCGGGCGCGTCGGCAACCTAGAAGCTGAATAAGGCTTAGAGGGATCGAGCCTGATTTCTGTCGCTCTGTCTGGGGACGGTGAGAAACCCAGGTAATTAGGCAAGACGCGATGCAGCAAGCAGCCTGGATCAACGAGTCACCAAATGTCCTGGTCAGACTTTGGCCAAAGCTCCGGGATGCTCACTGCTGTGCCGATGGGCGCCAAAGGACCTCGTCGTGACATGCGCAAGGCGTCAGGTCATCGCCCGGCGAGATGCTCCAGCCCCCATAGCCCCGTCTGATTCCGGGGCGCCGGGCTTGACCGTTTCGGCAGCGGGGGGGGAACCGACGGTGGACCACTCCACCTGAGAGCCACGTCACTCACAACATTAATCCTGATCCACGGAAAAAACAAAAATCAAATAAGAAAGGCTGCTCTTCCCTCGAGGCCCGAACATACACGAGGGTCGAGAGTCAGACTCCATCGTCCCAGGCACCTCCTGTTCCCTGGGCGGGTTGGTCTGGCTGATACCTGACAAAGCGGCAAACAAGGGAACTAAATGATCGCAAGTCTGACCTGAGTGCTTCGTGCCATGCAGGATAGAGAGTTTCCCATGTTTGATTGTCTTAGAGTTCCTGTCCTTCTTGGCTTGCATCTGGCGGGCACACAAACACACACGCACGCGCACACACGAATTGCTGGTCACCGCTCGCGGCTTGTTGGACCCCAACGCCCGGAGCTGCCTGCACAACATCAGTCCATCAGTGTGTCACAGAAAGCCCCTTGTCGCTCGCATCACAGATGTGCAAGAACGTTAAATAGAGATTGTTTCTCATCATGTTCAAAAATGATTACCCTGCTCCCTGCATCTCGATGATCCAAGGCCTGACCGAGCTACGTTGCATGTACTCTTACCTTACCACGATGCAAGGATTTCAGTGATCAAAGATTCGCCATGGCACTCTCCCTCCAGCTGGCTAGAGCCCACAGTGGGTCACCCCGTTTACCAGCCATGGTGGACAGTGGATCCCCTGGCTGTTGCTTCTGTTCCTGACCTCCGCCTCGGAGACCGTGCTTCGTTCGCTCGTCGAACCTGGCATGTGCCACAAGTCTGCCAGGTGAAGTAGCATACAGGTTGCAACCGAGTTATCCAATCGATGTTCGTGGGCATTGCAACGAGAACATGTGGATCTGTCAGGTAAGTGCATGTTGTCGAAACGATCGTTTTGCCTTGACACTGGGGGACGGGTGAAAGACTGAGCACGTCGCTATTCCAAGGGGCGAGCATTTTGACGATCGCAGATATGCAGGAAACAGAACAAGTGTCGAGACAATTGTAAGAAACAACGACCGAGACAAAGAGCGAGAGCGCGAGAGAGTTGTGTTGGCGGCCTTCGTCCAAACCTTCGAGACCCTCGTTTCCGTCGCCGCGCCGCCTGCGAGGTCCGAGGCGAAGCACTGCATCACCGGATTGGTCCAAGATGGCCCAAGCATCAAAACAACGCACAGACAGGTCACGGTGGCAGTTGACACGCTAAGATCGCTGAGACTGCTTCAACACTGGCCTTTCATCCTCCAACTCATCCCACAAACCTGTCGCAGCTTCAAGGATGAACAGGAGTGCTAGTGAAGAGGCACGGTGTGCGCTTTTGACCGTCAAAGCTTAGCCATGCTCAGCTGCTCGCGTGCTGCAGTCCCACTTGACACAGTTCGGATGATGGAAATGGACTGCTCCTCAAGAGGTCTTGCAGAAGTGTCATGCGATGCATACGTTTCTGAGGTCGCTGGTTGTGCAGCAAGGCAGTTTGAGTCTCCTCTTCCGCAGTTTCGGAGTAGGAGAGGGTCACCGACCTGAGCAAGCCATCTGGAAAACGACTCACAGAAAGACAAATCCGGCACGTCGGGGGACATCCCGTGCACTACAATGCCTACTCCTCAGGACTCACATCCTGGCATCGAGACTGAACTGATGTGGACTGAACCCCAGCTGATCAGGAAAGCTGCTTCTCTCGCTCCTCCTTGCTGTCAGAGCCTCCTCCAGTTCGTCACAGATAGATCGAGGGCAAAACAACTTTGCTGCCAATGAACATGAGGTCAGCCCTTCTTAGATTTTCTTGCCTTTACGCCGCGGGCACTCTGCCTGAGGCCAGCAGGTGGTATATGCATGGGAAGGGGAACACCTCCTGCTGCCTTGAAGCCGCGAACTTGCCAGAAAACAAGCTGACAGCGAGCAAGCAAGCAATCGTCATGATTCCCTCGGGTTGCGCTGTCCCTTGCTTTGAGCTGCCAGGGCGCCGATTCGCGACTGACCAGCTGGGAAAGTGCAAGACTCCGCGTACTCTAGATCGAGACAAAGATGCAGCCTTTGTCATCTTTGCATCCTACCTTGTGGCATCCCGTGCCGACATTGTGCTCGGGCTCCTTCTGAACGATGCAATCGTGACTAGGGTGCTACAAACACCTCCACATCTACAGGATGGCTCGTAGCTCGCCCGACACGGCTTGCCAGCTTGTCCCAACATGGCTGCTTGGGTGAGACAGTGCGATTATCACAAACTTATGATGCAAAAAAGCAGACAGGCTGTCATCAGCTGTCGCGCAAGTGAAGCTTCAAAACGTCTGGTCTGTCTTTACAGATTGCGAAGATTTCGGAGATGACATCTGCTTCTCACCCTTTTTGGGTGATTGAGCTTGTGCCCAGGGTTTCTCAGCAACCACAGTGCCAGCACCGCACTTCCAAACCACATCAGTCTGGCTGGCATCCTCCCTCTCGGCAGTGTAGAAGCAAGTCCGCGGCCTTCGGTTGTCCCGGGAGTCAGCGGACAGCGCGACTCCTCGATTGGAGACGTACTCCCTGAGAACGCCTTGTACCAGCTGAGACTCTCTTTCATCGAAGTTCATCAGCGGCTTCTCGAGAATCATAATTTCGGGGTTCACAATCAGGGCACGTGCGATGTGCAGTTTCGCCTTTTCCTGGAAGGACAGGGAGTCTTGCCAACCTCGCAATTCGACGTGCAGTTCATGCGCTCGCCGGCTACCATCTGGTGGCAACCATTGCGCATGGGCGGGTAGCGGTTCTACCTTCCCACTTTTGCTGCAACAGCCAGGGTCTACTTCCTCCTCATCCGAGAGAGGCTCCTGCGAAATTTCGATCTCCTGTTCAGCAACCTCTCGGGTTCGCATCATCCGGAGCTTATCCAGAATCCACAACGCCCGATGTCGCTCTTCTGGATTTGCGACAGCGAGAGGATCACCAAAGAACAGGTTCTGCAAAGGAGAGGCATCCATCAACATGACCTGGTGCGTAACCAGCAGGCAGCGCAGATGCGAGGGCATGATCACTTTGCCAGTAGTGGGAGTAATTCCACCAGCCAGGAGTCGGATCAGCTTCGTTTTTCCTGATCGATGTTCGCCTTGCAAGGCGACCAGCTTGCCTTGCTCGACAGATAAATCCACGTTGTGAAAAAGTTCTCCGGTCGCCCCAGGTTTGTATGACAGGCCTTCCAAGCGAATTGGAATCATATCAGTGCGCACCATGCCGGGAGGGGTCGGCATGGAAAGCTGCATCAGCCGAGTCCGCTGGTCGCTGGTCTCCTTGATCCGCCTGTTTACTAGCTCTTTCAAATCTCGGACGTCGGTAGGCCGGTTCAGAAAAATAGTGATGTCAACTAAAGGCTCAAACTTGGAGATAACGCTCATCATCACAGAATATCCATCCGCGAAATTCGCCGCGACCTCTTTGAACACACTGATCGTCGCTAGAAACCTGGGCGTATTGCAAACCTTCCTTCTGCTGGGCCAGCTACTCTTGTCTCGGTGCGCTGCTGACCGGTAAGTTCTAACGGTAAGTCCCGTATCAAAGCTTATGCATGTTCCATTAGATCACAATCGCCGTGCGCACTTTATGTCCGGTATCTAGAACAACTGAGTCCACAACGCTCCCAGGGAAAGCGCGCCATCAATCACTTGCTGAGCATAGAAGCACAGGTAGAAACCGGCAAAGAATGGGCCCAGCCAGGCGAAAAAGAACTCGCTGCGCATGTCGTAGATCCCCAAAGGTTCTTGCACCTCCGAATCTCCACTGACAACTTCCCCACCATTGTAGATGAGATCATATCTGTATCCCATATATACTATACATATATACACATATAAAAATTACTCCCTTCTTCTTCTTCTCCAGGGCATGGGGATGGGTCAGCATCCCCGGGCGCCAGGCCCACCCCAACGTCTTGTTGGGCCACGGGGAGTGAAAGTCGAGCATAGCTGATCAATGGGTTAAAGCCACAAAGAATACAATAATGTAGACATGAACAGCGTATGCTCTCAGCAGAAACATGCACTAGGATGCCAGCTTTGCCTTTTTGCAAACACGAAATGCAAACACCACATGAAGGGCAAAAGGGTAAGTAGCATCCCCCTCATGGTCATGAATTTGCACCTGTGAACTGTTCAGGGCGCATTGGGTCAGAGGTTTCCCCCTTACAATACTCGAACCTTTACAAGTCAAGCCAGCGATTTGGACAAGGACCATTCCCCGTTTCGTGACTCCCCGCAAACAGAAGAGGCGTACATGTTAGTTATCAGCGCGTATGGCAGGCGGTTGGAAAAGCGGGTGGCCAGAGGCCTCAAAGAATTAAGGTCCAGGCGTTGCAGGTCGGCAACACACCTAGAAGAAGTAAGAGGGTTTGCGATGTCATCTGCCGGGGCAGGCTAGAGTACAGTCCCCCTGGATTTCGCAAAGGGATCATGTATACATCAGATTGCTGGCACTGTTGTTGGGGGCCGCAGGGGCCTGCTCTGCAAACTGCTCTGCACTGCACACCGAAGTCACGACCTTACAAAGGAAAACCCCCCGAACAAGAACAAAGACACCAAGCAATCCCCCGCAGCCCTTGCAATGCACTGTGAATTTTCCCCCGCACTCACTTAGCTCTCAGTCTTCACGGCATGGTTGTTGGGCGCGAACTGCTCATCTTCCCCTCCATTGGTTTTGCTGTCGTAGACGACGGCG